AACCTCCTCCCTGGGGGACGGACAGCGGAAAAGTGGGTGAAGGGGGACGTCGGACGGTGTAAGATATGACAAAATAATAATAATTTATAAATTATCAAGGGTTCATGGGGGCGGGGGAAGCGGGGAGGGAGGGGAAAAAAACGAGGAGCTGATACCAAGGGCTCAAGCAGGAAGCAAATGTTTTGAGAATGATGGGGGAAACAAATGGACAAAAGTGCTTTACACAATTGATGTATGTGTGGATTTTTATAAGAGTTGTATGAACCCCGAATAAAAAGATTTTTAAAAAATTAAAAAACAAACAAAACAATTGCAGTCTCGAAACCCACAGCGGGGGCAGGGGTCGCTATGAGCCAGCACTAGCAGTGCGTATACAGTAAAAGGAGCACCCCTGCTTCCAGATGAGGAAACGCAGATCCAAATGGCAGCCACAACTCACTCTCATATACACAGGCAATTTTCAGGGGTCTTCCTGCAGCTAGGAGATGCACTAAGAGGAATATCCTAGCTTTCAAGTCTCAGTAAACTCAAGTACCCCCCATAAAGGAATTAGCATATCAGTAGGCTTTTCACCATCTTCCTCCCATCGCCCCACTTTTTAAAAAAATCAAACTTTTCATTGTGATTTGGGTGAAAGTTCGCGGAGCAAAATTGCTTTACTGTTCAACAATTCATATGCATTTGACACAGATTACAATCTTTACAATGTAACAGCACACTCCTGTTTCCCCGCTTTACATTTCCCCTCCTTTCCTGTCCCTTCAGTTGTGAAAGGGTTCAGTTTATCTCAGAGCAGCAGACATCACTGCTTAAGTTTCAGTTTTGACTCTAGTTTCATTTTCTGCTTTCAGTTTCCATTTCCTGTTTGCAACCTCAGTCACATACATCAACAGCTGTCAGTCTAGTCCCCTTATATATAGCCTGTCCCCGGGCTTAGATTTGTCTGAAAATCCTCTGGAGGGACTAGATCTCAGAGAAGTCCAGCAGGCTGAACACCACAGTGCAGAACCGCTGCCGGATTCACAGCAGCCATGAGGTACAGACTTTTCTTCTGTCTTCACGCCTAGAGTTTGCAGTGGGGGAAATTGTTCATACTGTCTCAACAGACTTGGTCTCACGGCGGTTAAGTTTCCTAGCTTCTATTTCAGCATTTGCTTTTGGATGGAATGTGTGTTGAACTGTTTTATTAATTCAGTGACTTTAATTTTTTGTTAGCATTGCTATGAAGATATTTTTACCCCATGCTATATAGCTCAAAGAAGGGAGAGAAATAGGAGAGGGAAAAGATTAGCAGAAGTGAGAAAATGATGGCCAAATCAGTTCTGTCTGACGAGGGAGAGAGTGAGGGGCTGGTCTGGGTAGGGACATTCTTTTATACCGACTGATTCCTCACCATGTTGTCAAAGGCGGACACACCAGCTCTGCAAGCTGCATCTCTGGTGCCTCCCCAAAGTCCGATGGGAAAATACTGTGGGGATATGGTAGAAGGAGCTATATGCTGGAGAATAAGACCTTTCCTTGTCCAGATGCACTGCTGGGCTCCTAGCCTGCACAGGACACTTGCTCCTCAGAAGTGAAACTCTCTCCAGAGCCCCGATGTCCCCCTGTTCAGGGGACTTGCCTGGACTTCACTGCATTCTTACCTGAAGGATCTTATGTGGGACTTCCAGATTGTCCACATGGAATCTTGATTCAAATAACCCTTGATTTCAGCAAGGGGAAAAAAAAGCCACCATTAGTAGCAACTTTCAACATTCCCTTCAGTGGTCCAGTGGGAAAAATTGGAATGGGACAGAAGTCCTGGAATATACACAGCCTCGGGCCTGTGATGAACTCCCCTCCTCTCTTTGGCCAATAAACAGGTGAAGTGGGTTTCCAAAAATCATTAACATACAATACGATAATAGTTATCACTCCTGACTGTCTGTTACATGCCGACCTGGCTTCTAAAAGTGTAGTATAAATTATTTGATCATCAAAACAAACCAACAAGGCAAGTAACTCATGTTATTCTCATTTTGTATTAAGGAACCTTAGATTTACAGAAGTTTAGATCACACAGATAATAAAAGGAGCCGAGATAAAAAAATTAAAAAAAAGGAGCCGAGATATAAACTAATTTCAATGACATTATTTTTAATCCTTAAACCAGTCCTTCTCAAAAAGCTACAACTGGGTACACATGTCATAATTTCTAGTGGCACAAGCAGCTTTTTATTTTAATGATTTTGTATTTATTTTTAAATGTATTTGAAAAATATGTATGTAATTTGTAGATTTCCATTTAAGCTTGTAATAAAAATTTCATTGTTATAAAGTCACTTAAGACAAATTCATCATATTCGCTAATTTAAAGTGACTAATTCAGTAGTGTTCATACACTCACTGTGTATCTTCTGTTCCAGAAAGATTATTTTCATCATTTCAACAGGATATCCCATGCCCATGACAGTGTCACTCGTCATTATTCCCTCCGTGGAAATCATTAACCTGTTTTCTGCCTCTATGGATTTGTCTATTCTGAATAGGGCACACTGGATGTATAATTATGAACACTTCTTCAGAAAGGCCATAACCATAGAACAGGGTTCCCTAAAGTGGATGACACTGACAGCTAGGGGGCGCTGCACCGATCCAGGAAGGCTGCAGTACAAAAGTTTTTAAAGTGCCAGAGAGGCACTGAGAAATTTTTAAAAGGGGGCTGGCTATAAGCCAAATACGTTTGGGAACCTACGAGCAGGAAAAACATGTGGAACAAAATTCAAATCAATGACCAGATTGAGTGGTCTGACAGAGACGAGAGGTATGGACTATGCCCCCTAGACAGCCTTTTAAATCAGAACCAAAGTTTTCTGGAAGTTCACCAAACATTAAACCCTCAAACCAAACAGATAGCCATCAGGTTGATTCTGACTTGTAGGCTACAAATCTCTATGACAGCAAATAGCTCCCACTTTCTCCCTCAGAGTGGCAGGTGGGTTTTAGCCATTGATCTATGGTTAGCAGTTCAACACTTACCTGACAGCACCACCAGGACTCCTTGGCAACCACATATTAGACTGGTTTATGCACATGGAATATGTGCCTTAGGATAAGCAAGCATAGGAGACCAAACGGGCAAACAGATGCCTAAAAGTACAGATGAGAAGCCAGAGAGGGACAGGAATGTTGGCGATGGAAATGAGGGGTGAGTGCAGACACATTATGGGGATTGCAAACAGTGTTATGAAGCGATATATTGAATGGGAAACAAATTTGCTCTGTAAATTTTCACCTATAACCAACAAACAAAAAACCCCTCACTGCCATCCAGTCAATCCCACAGTCACAGCGACCTCCTAGGACAGGGTAGACCGGCCTGTCACTGTTTACAGAAGTGGAAACCCCATCTTCCCTGCAGAACAGCAGATGGTTTCCAGGGACCTTTCAGACCTCAGCCGAATGCACGACCACGTCGCCGCCGCCCAAGCGTGTCCTTTCACTTAAAGCACAGTACAATGCTTTCTTTCGAACGGCTCTAACAACTCACGATTGTAGTAGCTGGTATCTTCGCCTTATTGACACTTTTGCCATTCTGACTAGGCAGTTAGAAACTGCTGCTCCTTTCATTGGAGGAAGAGAGGTACCAGAGGCCGCGGGGCGTATTGGCTGGGGTGGGGCAGGAATCGGAGCGGTTATGTGCTAGCTACTAACCAAGAGGTCAGCAGAGCAAACCAACAAACAGCTGCTGTGCTGAAGAAAATGGGGCGGATTCCGGGAACCCAAGAGGCAAGCGAATTTTGGGAATAATGAGGGCAACAAATGTGTAGATGTGCTTTACACAATTGATCTATGTATTGTGACGAATTGTATGAGCCCCAATAAATTGATTTAAAAAAAAAAAAAAGAAAATGGGGCTTTCTACTTCCCTAAAGAGTTCATCTCGGAAACTCACAGGGGCAGTTCTATCCTGTCTGATAGGGTTGCTATGAGTCAGAATTGACTCAGTGGCAGTGAGTTTGGTGTTTGGGGTTTTTTCTATTGGCTATGTCATTGGCTCTAATGGCACAGTGGTTAAGCACTGATTTGCTAACCAAAGGTCTGCGTTTTGGCCCCACCAGCTCCTCTGCAGGGAGGAAAATGTTGCAGGCTGCCCATAGTGACTCCCCCCAGTACCAACTGCTGTCTTGCCGAGTCTGATCTATAGTCACCCAATAGCACAGAGAACAACCCCATGGAGTTTCCAAAGATGTAATCTTTACAGCCACCTTCACAGGCAGTGTTAACCCACTGGATGGGAGAGCTATGTGGAAGTCTGCGTGTGTAAGATTACAGCCTTGGAAACCCTCTGAGGCAGTTCTACTCTGTTTGCTAACATTGGAAAGGACACAAAAAGAACGAGATTTTTGTTGGTTATTGTGGGAAGCTGAGAATGGGAAGAGAGTGTGTGTGGATGAATCCTTTATTCTCATATTAAGAAGCCTGGCAGGCTGGATTGCTGGGGTGGAGGGAGGCCTTCACTCTTGTGAGTGGGAGATGTGTCCCAATAACATTCTCATAATTAATATTGTTCCCCACTATATCCTCCCATAATAGTACAACCTTAAGGTTACCTCTTAGAAGCACATGGCTGATGGCTATCTAGCCGGAAGCTTTAACTATAGGAGCAGACATGCGCTATTGCTCTCTAGGCTCGGAAGACAGCCCTGCCCCGGGCTCTGGTTAGGTTACTTCCCCTCTGTACTCAGGGACCTTTAGGGTAAGGGTACAGTCCACTTTGTTACCCATGTGGTTACCTGTAATTAAGGGGTCTGGTATGTCCCTAGAGTATATATAAGCCCTGGTTGGGAATATATTTTCTCTCTGCGCGGACCTGGCTCCTGAAGTCCAGGCAGTCCCGGAGGTGAGCCCTTGCATGCTTTATCGTCTGATGTCTCTTTAATTTTACCCCTCAATTACACAACCGCTCTTTGGTCCCATTCAATTTTGGGGCTGGTACCCCACAGTTTATATCAGCTATTTATTTATATTTATGCTGCCATAAATTATCTATTTGTGCAGATTTCTGTTGGCCTTATTCCCATAGCCTTATTTATTTTTCTGCTTAACTTGTTTAGGGTACCTTTGCTATAGATAAGTTTCTATTTTTTCCTATTGCCTCAGCCATTTCCTAATATTTTTCTTGTCTTCATGTATTTTGCATTACATAATTGATCTTGGGTCAACAGGGAGGTAGTTACTTGGTGAAATTACCCACTACCCTGAGAGTCCCTCCTCCTTTTTGTAATGACTGCCATCCGTGGGCCACAATTTGACTCATTAAAAAGGTAACTCTCTCTGAATCACAAGTGCTGGGGCCAGTCTGTGAAGTCAAGCAAACTGTGCTCAAAGACCTTGTAGATGTTAGAAACACAGGGATACTAATGAATAACGAAGCAGGTGTGCTCCTTGAAAGGGGGAGAATAGGAAGCATTTTATCTGCCTTTGGTCTATCAGCTGGTCTTCACCTAACAAAGACCGTCTGCTTTTGTTTCCTTAGTCAGCACGCTGATGAGCACTGGATCAAGGAGAGGCTGGAGCAGTTGAGATGCCACTTCACATGGCAGTTAATAATTGAAGCCAAGGAAATGCTAGATTTGGAAAGCAGGATTTTGGAAGAGATTGAGTTCCTAGACACTCAATACAATGTGGAAATACACAACCTCCTGGCCTACGTGCAGCATCTGAAAAGCCAAAATGAGGCAGCCCTGGAGAACCTGCAAATGGCTGAAGAGCTCATCCGGCAAAAACATGGGGACCAATCTGATGTGAAAAGTTTGGTTACTTGGGGCAATTATGCTTGGGTGTACTACCACCTGGGGAAAGTGGCGGAAGCTCAGACTTACCTGGACAAGGTGGAGAAGACTTGCAAGAAGTTTGAAAGTCCCTCCCACTATAGGATAAGGTGCCCCGAGATAGACTGTGCTGAAGGATGGGCCTTTCTGAAGTGTGGAGGACGAAACTATGAACAGGCCAAAGTCTGCTTTCAGAAGGCTCTGGAAGCGGACCCTGAAAATCCTGAATTCAGTACGGGGTATGCAATTACCCTATACCGCCTGGATGGCTTCACCAGAGAAACACAACCAACTGAGCTTTCTCTGCTCCCCCTGAGGCAGGCTGTCAGGTTAAATCCAGAAGATGTACTTATTAAAGTTCTCCTAGCCCTGAAGCTTCAGGAGGTAGGACAAGAAGAGGAAGGAGAACAGTACATTGAAGAAGCACTGACCAGCACATCCTCCCAGACCTATGTCTTTCGACATGCAGCCAGGTTTTACCGGAGAAAGGGCTCTGTGGATAAAGCGCTCCAATTCTTAAAAATGGCCTTGCAGAGGACACCAGACTCTGCCTTTTTGCACCACCAGATTGGGCTTTGCTACAGGGATCTCCTGATCCAGACAAAGGAAGCCAACAACAGGCAGCCTAGAGTGCAGAGCCGACCACATGACAACATAATAAAATCAGCTATATTTCATTTGGAGTATGCTGTGAAACAAAAGCCCACTTTTGATGTTGCTTATGTACACCTGGCAAGTATGTATATAGAAGCAAGTGATTACAGAAAGGCAGAAGAGACTTACCAAAAAGTATTAGAGATCAAACCATTTGAAGCGGTGAAAAAGCAAAAGGTACATTTCCAATATGCCCGGTTTCTGGAATTTCAAAGGAGATATGATGATGGTGCAATTCGCCATTATTTAGAAGCAATCAAAATAGAAACTGAGTCATTTGCCAGGGAAAAGAGCATCGGTTCACTGGAGAAACTGGCTTTAAGGAAATGTCACAGAAACCCATCTGATGAGGAAAGTTGGGGCCTCCTTGGGTTCATCCATAAAATGAAAGGAGAAATTAATGAAGCGCTGGACTGCTATGAGAAGGCCATCGGGCTGGCTACTGGCTTTGAGCTCTCTAAGAGAGGGCGTCCCTAGGCACTAAAAGACCAGCATTGTCACACTCGATTTGATTTTAGGCTAATATGTCATGAGTTCTCTTTCCTGCATGCTGCATTCAAGAAATGTATTATATAATTCACTATGATAAGATGCTTGAACAATGCAAGCTGTATTCAGAAAAACACTGAAGGAAAATAAAATGTCTATGTAACAGATAGTTTATTGTGCCAGCCTGGCCAATAAACACAAGTGGGATTCACTGAAGGGCAGAGAGATAAATGGCTTGGTGAGTCTCGCCTTTCTTGTCTC